CACACACACACACACACGTTAAACACCACACTGGATGAGTGACACATGTTTGGGCGCCTCGAGGGGAATCTGAATATTGATTGGCCTGGAACAGTTATCCATCCATGATTAGAGAGTGTGTGTGTGTGTGTGTGTGTGTGTGTGTGTGTGTGTGTGTGTGTGTGTGTGTGTGTGTGTGTGTGTGTGTGTGTGTGTGTGTGTGTGTGTGTGCGTGTGTGTGCGTGTGTGTGTGTGTGTGTGTGATTGAACCTTTGATGTTGTCAGCCGGGGCCGGAGAGAGACACTGAGCATGCTCAGAGCGACTGTGTGTGTCACAGATAAATGATCAGCCTGCAGCTTCCTGTTGTCATTCTGCATTAATCAATATCCTCGGAGCAACTACAGAACTCTTAAATACAAATATAAATATATAATATATATAATAAATATATATATAAAGTCGACTGTTAACTTATCACAGAGTTAACGCTGCGGTCGGTCACGTGGTCCTGGTTATCTCCTAGTTACCGTTACCCGCGGCGACCAGGTGTTGGGTGATTGATGAGGGCCTTTTTTATCCTCCTCCTGCTAATGGACAGGAAGTGACCACCCACAACCTCTGACCTCACTGACCCCCGCAGCATGCTGGGTAACAAGCTGAGTACCTGTCACACACACACACACACACACACACACACACACACACACACACACACACCTCAGTAATGAGGAGGTGAAGCCAGAAGCTCGCTCTCTTTCATCTTCCCCTTTCTCTCCATCCTGCTGGTTTCCCTCCCCGCTCGCCCAGGAGGATTGTGGGAAGGGGATGGTGTTTTTTTTGGCAGAGTTTTTTCGGGCTGACCCTCGGAGGTCAGCGTAGAGGAGAGTTTCCTGTTTCGCTGTCGGTCTGCCGCAGTGCCTTTGAGCAAAACCTGCTGAGCGCCTGCTGATGTTCAGTAGCTCCGAGTTCAACTCCGGGATCAGATCTTATTCATTAAACATGAAGACGAACCAGGAAATAAACTCTTCATCTGTTTTCAAGCGTTAATATGAGATTTATTTGCTCTGCTGTCCTCATAGAGCCGGGACAGTCACATAATCACATAACTGTGTGCATAAGGCAGATTTTCATTAATACTTTAGAGATATTGAGTCTTTATTTTCAGATATTGAGTCTTTATTTTGAGATATTAAGTCTTTATTTTGAGATATTGAGTCTTTATTTTGAGATATTGAGTCTTTATTTTCAGATATTGAGTCTTTATTTTGAGATATTGAGTCTTTATTTTGAGATATTGAGTCTTTATTTTCAGATATTGAGTCTTTATTTTCAGATATTGAGTCTTTATTTTCAGATATTGAGTCTTTATTTTCAGATATTGAGTCTTTATTTTCAGATATTGAGTCTTTATTTTAATATTCTTTATTTTAGATATTGAGTCTTTATTTTCAGATATTGAGTCTTTATTTTAGATATTGAGTCTTTATTTTCAGATATTTATTGTCTTTAAAACTAAAGATCTGCTGCGTCACTTGTTAGCACAAATGCTAGTGGAACCCAATGGGAGTGTGATTAGCATTCTGACACACGAGGAACAACCTGCTGTTGATTGGCTGAGACCCGACAGGTGGGCGGAGCTGACAGCCTGTCAGTCTCTCTGACGTCCAATAGCTGACGAGCAGCTGTGTGGAGGGAGGTGGGCGGGGCTTAAGGATTAGTTTAATTAACCCCAGCAGGTAAACAAAGAGGGGGGGGGCTGCCTGTTCATTATCCAATTTAAACTGATGGAACTGAAACTTGAACCACACAAATTAATTAATTAGCCTAATTGTTGCTGGTTGTGTGTGTGTGTGTGTGTGTGTGTGTGTGTGTGTGTGTGTGTTAATTCAGTGTTATTCAGACCAACTGAACACACACACACACACACACACACACACACACACACACATTCAGTTTCATTACTCGTCTGGAACATTAACGAAACGTCGGCGGCATCAGCGGGCTGCTGCGACCTCTGACCTTTGACCTTCTGATGTACTTTTTTTGTGATGGTGTGATCTGAGGCTTCACCGACACACACACACACACACACACTCACACACACACACACACACACACACACACACACACACACACACACACACACACACACACACACACACACACACACACACACACACACACACACACACACACACACACACACACACACACACACACACACACACACACACACACACACACACACACACACTCACACACACACACAGGCTTTAATGAGGAGGTGGGAGGTGACAGGGTTAAAGGTCGCGCTCCGGGTGCTCGGTCGGCCGGCTGCCGGTGACAGATTCCTGTCTGCGGTGGGAGGTCAAAGGTCAGCAGGCGGCAGACAGACGGGGTCAAAGGGGGGACGCAGTGCTGAGTGGACAGTTTCAAAGTTATTGGTTGGTAACAGCTGAAAGTTGGATCAGAATATAGTTTATCTTTATTGATTATTGATCAGTATACACTGTATCTTTATGGATGATATTGATCAGTATACACTGTATCTTTATGGATGATATTGATCAGTATACACTGTATCTTTATGGATGATATTGATCAGTATACACTGTATCTTTATGGATGATATTGATCAGTATTCACTGTATCTTTATGGATGATATTGATCCTGTATTGACAGTCAGACTGTGGACATATGACGGCCTTTAGCTCGTGTTTCTAGAGTTACGTGTTGTTACGAACACGTTAGGAATTGTTAAAATGTGATATTTCTTAAAGGGAGTTTGGTGCAGGGAGCTTTTAGTTGGATTCAAACTGCTGATATGGATCATTGTTAACGTTTAGTCTCCACTACAGAAACACTAGCTGACTGCTGAAGGCTGATCAGGTTGTCTGACATTGACATTGCTGTTAGTTATTAGTCTGATTGATGCTTTAATAATGTGGGTATTGATTGCAGTTTGCCCTTTTGTGTGTGCATTTTTAAACTACTCTCCTAATTAAACATGAAGTGCTCGTTATTAATGACTCCTGATGAAACGTAGTTCAGAGACCAGACAGGAAGTTGTGTAGTGTGACCGAGGCAGTTAAACAGCCTCACGTTGTTTCCACACATGAATATATTCCCACTTTCTACCTCCTGACTGCGGCTTAAAGCTACAAATACACAGTGAATCTCTCTGAATCAGCTCAGAAACTGTGGAAAATGTTCAGATTATAACATACAGCTGTTGGGGAAGCTGTAAATTGAAGATGTGGGTCCTTAAATCCAGCTCGGGGGCCTCAGAAAGGCTTAAAAAGGCCCCCGTTAGGGTTGCTGAGTGTGGACTGCTCTCTGTATATCTGAGCTGTCAGTCAGAGGCCGTCTGCTGGTTTCTGTCTCTTCTGACTCAGCACATCAGCTCTCTCTCTCTCTCCTGCAGTGTGAAGTGTAGCTCGCACGCTCCAGTGTCCTCGCCTAACAGCGAACCGGGCCCTTTTTCTCCCGACCGCGTCCAATGAGCCGCAAACAGCAGGTCTGCTCCATTAATGGCCACCAGTGGGAGGAGCCTGTGAATCACAGCCCGGAGCAGACGTGACTCAAAATATGAGAGTTGACCAGTTTGTGTTGTCGGCTCGCAGCACCGCCGCACAAAGTCGTGAATTTACACAACAAATTAGGGTTTGAGTCCGACGGGCTGCGACGGAGCGGAGTGTCTGAGCAGAACGTGTGAGGACAGAAAGCGTCAGAACAACAATCTGAACAGCGACAATCGTTCAGCAGCGTGACGGGAACACAGTTTGTTCAACAAGATAATCAAATGACAGAACTGCACGAGGCAGAGAGAGGAACAGTGTGCAGCTCAGACTGACACACAGGAAGCAACATATAAGAATAAAACATGGATACAGTAAAAGGAACAGATGGTTCATTTTTCAACGGTTGAACTTTAAATGATTGATTGAGATAAACATGATTTACAGTAACATTTTCCTAGGTTATGATATCATGCTCACACACTTCGGGTTAATGTTTATACATTTTACAGCTTTAAAATCAGATTATTTTAGCTCTGAGGACTTTAGTGTAATTTCCCTTCATGCAAACATGAAACCACATCCAAATGAAGTCCAGCTCAGACAGCATTTTATTCCTGACCTCCGCTCTCCTCCACCTGAACTACCGCTGACATTCCTCCTCCTCCTCTTCTTCCTCCCCTGCTGCTCTAACTACATCCCCCCCTTTCATCCACAAGGCTTCCTTTTGTGGTTTAAACCATTTGTTTCTCAACAGGCTCCTCCTCCTCTTCCTCCCCCTCGTCTTCCTCCCTTTGGCTCTCACTCTATAACAGCAGTGGTGGAAAGTAGAAATAATGTTTATAAAACAGAATTTATCGAAGATAAAAGCAGCAGCGGCTCCAGTTTCACATTATTTAATCAAATTATTTGTCAAATATTTCACAAAAAATCCAAAATATTAAACAAAGTGCGTCACAAAATACGAAAATGTAAAGATATTAAACCCAGAAAATAACATAAAATAAACATTTCAACAACCAAACGTCAAGTTATAAAACAAAATATCAAACATTTGAGTTGATAATGTAAAATATAAAGTAATATACCTTTGAATGAAGTGCGTTACTTTAACTTTTAGGGAGTGTTTTACAGTTTATTTCCAGATTAACAACAATAAACATTCTCCTCAGCGTCACATGACTTAATCACGGCGTCAGTCTCTCCGTTAGCATCAGAGCTAGCGTCGCTCAACGATGGCAGTGAAATGTAAACGTCTGTGAGAGCCGGAGATGTTCCTGAACACACACACACACACACACACACACACACACACACACACACACACATCTCAGCTCGTCCTGTTCTGTCCTGCGTCTATATTTAGCCGCCGTTCGATCCTCGCCGCGTGTCGAGCAGTCGATAAAATCAGCCGCTCGCCGTCGGACATCATGTCTGAACCTGATCCACCTCCAAACCCCCTCACCTCCCCCTCCTCCCTCCTCCCTCCTCCCCCCTCCCTCACCCACCTCCTTCATCCTCCAGGAGGAAGTGGCGGCGTCCGTCCGATCACTTCCTCCTCCTCCTCCTCCTCCTCCTCCTCCTCCTCTCGTCTGTCTGAACGGATGAAAAACGAGAGATTTCAGTCCGCTCGGGAGCTTTAATATCAGCAGAGTCACCTTCACGTCCGCGATCAGTCAACAAGCAGCAGCAGAGAGGTCAAAGGTCACAGCAAATACAGCACCGAGCCCCGAGTGATGGCGAGCAACGCCAGAGGTCGACTTATGTGTGTTTATTTAATTATTATTTATTTTATGACTAAACTCCTTCAATATACGAACAAACAACCTTTTAATTGATGTTAAATCTTCAATAGGTTGAATGATTTTATATCTTCTCTCCGTCTCCTAACGACGATCGACCTCCGGCAGCGTCGTTAAAGACTTTACGGGAATAATTCGACCTCCGGGATGTGATGGACGTCTGACGATAACCGTCCGTCTGATGTTTCTCTGTCAGAAGAGATCAGATGAAACTTGGTTGATCCACACAGTGGAACCGGGTAGATTTGTCTATAATACTATAAGACGTCCGTCTCTCCTTCCTGCTCTTTTCCTCGAGCCACACAAAGCCCGACTAAATCTCACCGAGTCCATTTTTTTTTTGCTGCTTTTAGTCTGAAAAACATCCGCTGAGAGTCGACTGAGCCCATCAAAGGACGGAGAGTTTAGATGATGATGACATCCGCTGTGAAAAAGTCCAGAACTGGAAATATGTGCAGGACGAGGAGAGAAATGTTTGATGTGTTTCCAATCTATAAGCTTTTTCTAGTTTCTAGAATTTTATTATTTGCTGCTTCAAGGTTACACAAACAGAGAGAAACCTTTGGTTTAACCAGTAATAGAAGAGCGGCGTCGCTATCGCTCTCCACCAGACTCCAGAGACAAAAACAGCAATTTTACATCGCATGTCATCAGAACATCGTAACTTAATTTAAAGTGGACAGAAACTAAATAAAACTCATCAAAACTGTCTTTGTTAGTCTTTACAACCATCACCAACTCTGGTTTGGTGGAAATAAACCTTTAATTCACAGAGTTAGAGGGGAAATATCCGCACAATGGCTGCAACGTAAGCTAACGTTAATCGTTGGGGACAAATGGACCTTTAAAGTGCATCCACTAACAGTAGTTGTTGTTTGTTCCACTAACAGTAGTTGTTGTTTGTTCCACTAACAGTAGTTGTTGTTTGTTCCACTGACAGTAGTTGTTGTTTGTCCCACTAACAGTAGTTGTTGTTTGTTCCACTAACAGTAGTTGTTGTTTGTTCCACTAACAGTAGTTGTTGTTTGTTCCACTAACAGTAGTCGTTGTTTGTTCCACTAACAGTAGTTGTTGTTTGTTCCACTAACAGTAGTCGTTGTTTGTTCCACTAACAGTAGTTGTTGTTTGTTCCACTAACAGTAGTAGTTTCAGCCACTGACAGACTCAGGTTGTTATTGTCAGTGTCTGACAGCATTATGGAAAGGATCCCTACAGAGATAGACCTTTAGTTTAACCAGTAATAGAAGAGCGGCGTCACCATTGCTCTACACCAGACTCCAGAGACAAAAACACTCATTTTACCTTCAGGTCATCGTAACTTCATTCAAAGTGGACAGAAACAGAATAAAACTCATCAAAACTTTGTTATTCTTTCCAACAATCAATCGGTTTGCTGTTAAAATTAAACCTCCTCTATATAAACCTTTATGAAAGCCACAGAGAGAGAAAACGAGCGCAGACAGACGAGCTAATGCCTAAAATAACAAGTTGAACAAGAACTCTGAATTGTTATAAACAAACTTCCTGCAGCTGTTTTTCACTGAAAAGCTTTTACACAGTAAACTGGTTCCTTACAACCAGATTAACAATGAGTCCTGTGTTGTTTCCAGGTTTACAGAGTTGAAGTCACACCCTGTTTTTAAAGACTTTAATCTTTTGTTCTCTGGCCAGACACTTTATGTGTATTGTTCATTAGGCTTTTTGATAAGTGTTTTATGTCGGTACCGGATGGAGCCATAAAGAGCGTCTTCTTACTCTAACCGTCACAAACGATGATGATGTTTACGGCGGTTCTGCCTCACTGGAGCTGCAGTTGTTAAATGCCCCTGGGGGGGGACAGGGAACAGGTGAGGCTGATGCAAGTCTGCAGGTGTGAGGAGAAATCAGAGAGAGATCTTCCTCCAGGAACTCTTTGGATGGTTCCTCTACACCTTGGTGGTCACAGGCAGTGGTTGGTGGCTTAAAGGTTAATATAGTATTAATATAAACATTATTATGTTGGTGAATTGAAGATTTATTTCCACCAAACCTGAGTTGGAGGTTGTTGGAAACAGTTTTATTCTGTTTCTGTCCGCTTTTGAATGAAGTTACGATGTTCTGATGACATGCGATGTAAAATTGCTGTTTTTGTCTCTGGAGTCTGGTGGAGAGCGATAGCGACGCCGCTCTTCTATTACTGGTTAAACTTTGACCTGCGCATTGTACTGACGTTCAATAGCATCCTGTTTGGTGAACATTATCTCATCTAAACTTGTGAAATAAGGGTTTAAAATAATGAGGGTTTCTGTTCAGTTTAAAGTGTTTTTTTAAGATTTCTTTGCAAAATCACTGATTTTGCGAATGAAGTCTGGTTGGTGGTAACGCCTGTTGTCGTGCGCTCTAACCTTTATTTTACCGCTGTTGTATTTTATAAAACATAAATACCTTTAAAAAAAACAAAGCTTAAATCTTACGATGTCGTATTTATTTCATACTTTCACTCGGAGATAAAAACCAGATTCAGCTGCTGATGGACGGATCCTGAGTGCAGCCGACGTGGAGCCACTTTGTCTTCTTCTTTCTCTCCTGCTGCTTCTTCCTTCAACAGCTGAGCGGCTATACAGACACAGACTGTCACACACACACACACACACACACACACACACACACACACACATATATATATATCCTATACACACATCCTTTAAACTGTCAGTATAGAGCAGCTGGGCAGAACCTGCTCTGCCACTTCCACTTGTGTGTATATCAGTTTCTGTGTACATGTGCAGTGTGTGTGTGTGTGTGTGTGTGTGTGTGTGTGTGTGTGTGTGTGTAGTATCACCTCAAACACACTTGAGTAATTAATTTTCAACATGGCTGGGTTTTCGCCATGGCTATGTGTGTGTGTGTGTGTGTGTGTGTGTGTGTGCAGCAGGGGAGGTAGCTGCCGTCAATACTAATTTGGTACGAGAGAAAACAAATGTATTTAATCCCTGGTTGTCTTGTCCTGTTTTCCTCTTCCTCCCTCTTCCTCCCTCTCTCTCTCTCTCTCTCTCTCTCTCTCTCTCTCTCTTTGCCATCCTCCCAGCTCCCTCACTCCCTCGCTCGTCCCTCCCCAACCCCCTCGCGGGCCGATAGCCATTAGCGCTGCAAAGGGAATTTTAATGCAACACCGGCTTCAGTGGGAAGGAATGAATATTTAAAACACACTCTGACTAGAGCAATAAAAGGAGAAGGACGTATCCTTCATCTCCACACACACACACACACACAGACACACACACAGACACACACACACACACACACAGACACACACACACACACACACACACATGCAGGAGTGTGTTGATGTGACACTCTCTCTCCAAAGAGAACCAGTTCAGCTGGTCCGACTGGAGATCAGCGTGTTTGTTTTGTCTCGCCGCGGCGCGTTCGAGACCTGTCAGAGAGGTTTCCATGGTTACGGCTTGAAAATCTTTTTTCACTCAACTCGAGATCGTCCCTCCCGCCGCTCTGAAGTGTCACACTGATCCTCGTCTGTGTGTATTTCTGTGATATTGTTAGTTTCACTGTTACTCTTATTAAAGTGCTGCTGATTATATCATTATATTATTACACATTATATTTTAGAGCTTTTACTGTTTATATTAAAGACTTTAGTCTTTACATCGGCACAGTTCAGAGGGAAAGATATAATCTCTTTATATTACCTCAACTACATCAACAGACTTTGTAGATTTCACCAAAGAGTTGAGCCATCACCAAACTACCAACGACTTCATGATAACATAAATAGTTTTTTCAGTTAGATTTGGGATGCATGATAAACAATGTTTCTACGGTGGCCCAGAAAGGACAAACCAAACGGGGTGTTTGTTTGTGAGCGTTTCGAGGCCACCGTAGTTTCTCCTTCGTGTTTGAAACTAGAGAGTTTAGAAGGTGACGTTGACGGTTGGTCTAAAATCGCTTTTATCTTTTTAACTCATCTTTAAAATGCGGCTGTTGTGTTTTCGACATAGATTAGCTTAGCACGTAGCATATCTAAGTACAGGAGAGGAGGAAGTTGGCCGAGGTTTGCTCAACTGTGATTGGAGGACAGTGCAAAAAGGGGGCGGGGCTTAGGAAGTGCTAAATGTGCTACAGAGTACTGAGTTTGGAGAATAAGCTTTTCGTAGCATAAACACATTTTAAAGTTGATTAAACTGTTTATAAAACTCATAAAACTTAACTTGTTCCAACTAGTTTGCAACTTAAAAATCAATAAATTATAAGTTTTATCTTTCAGCTGTATATTTATGTCAGTGATTGAGACAGAGTTTGAGTTTGAACCGGCGAGCGGGATCAGAACGTAGGAGTTGTTATTAAATCGTAAAGAAAAGACTTTGAATCAGCCTGAAATTTAATTTAAAGCGAGTTCAAGAGATTAAACGAACAGTTTTTGTCTCAGAAATGTACAATTGTTGTTTTTTTTTCCTACCAAAAGAGCACATAGAGGAGAGCAACAGGTGAGCCGAGACGAACGGCTGTTGTTATGGAAACAAGGTGCGCTGTCAGGCCCCAAAAAAACAACAAAAAAAAACCCCTCAGGCAGCAAGTTTCTCCACAAACAGACAAAGTCGACCTCAGCTGCTCTGCATTCAAGACATTTGAATACTTGTGAGAAAAATAAATCATTTGAATTTAGATTTAAAAGCAGGTTTGAAGCACCTGTGGAGGAGAGAATGGGCGAGAGACACAGAGACAGCAGAGAGAGAGAGAGAGAGACAGAGAGAGAGAGAGAGAGAGAGACAGAGAGAGAGAGAGAGAGAGAGAGAGAGAGAGAGAGAGAGAGAGAGAGACAGAGAGAGAGAGACATTATACTGATTTACAGCAAAATTATTGTCGGTTATTGTCGGTTGTGGAATATTTCAGGGCTCGTGGGTTTTGTTTGGTTCGTGTTTTGTATCAGACGTGGTGATAAATGTCGCCCTGTCACCCGCTGGTTGGGAGGGTTTTGATTGTTGTTGTTGTTGTTGTTTTGTTTGCAGCCAGCGGCGGTGGCGTATGACGCTTTTAGACGTGAAGGTACTGAAACTCAGACGTGCCGGTTATGGTTGGGGGCCGATATGTTAACATCGCCGTAAAGCTCAAAGCTCTCTTCCTGTTTCCTCGTCTTCAGTCAGAGTCCTGGTTGGAGCCTCCGTGAACCACCTTGTTACTGTATTTACTGTAAAACTATAAAAATAAACTAAACTATGGAACACATACTGATTTACCTTCATATCCTTTTACTACTATATTTTGTTTGGACGTAAAAAAAGCTCTTAAATTGAACCTGTTGAACCTGAAGTCCAACAGGAAGGTCGTTGTTGTGTCGGCTGTTTCTGGTTCTCAGTGCGCTGAGTAGTTGCCATGTTTTGTACCCGGTGCAGCAGGTTTATGATCTTTAAGATACGATGAAGGAAGAGATACCGAAGTGATGTTGCACCAACGTCTTCCTCAGCAGCTCAGATTCACTGACGCCTGACTTCCTGAAGTCGGTTCCCATGAAGAGAGGAACGCCGTCGGACCGCCGCGGTGACTCATGAGGTCGAGGGTTGTTGTTAAATTGGATTGAGTAACAGCAGGGAAACTGTGTGAGTGTGTGTGTGTGTGTGTGTGTGTGTGTGTGTGTGTGTGTGTGTGTGTGTGTGAGTGTGAGTGTGGCTCTCGTTAGCGGCTGCACTCCTGACGAAGCTTCAGTGAAACCAGAGATCATCAGAAAATCGTTGAGGTATGAAAAAGACAATTTACAGTTTCGATTGATCTGGACTCTGGAGGTTGTGTGTGTGTGTGTGTGTGTGTGTGTGTGTGTGTGTGTGTAAGGCGACCCCCTCCAGGTGTATCCGGTGATGGATCAGTTTCCGTGCGGTGTGTTTTCCAGCCGCTCAGCTTCCTGCGCTGAGGGGAAGTCGAGCTTGAAAACGACAGCAGCTGTAAACTGATCCTGGGTCAGATTTCACGGCTGCGGCTCCGTCACCAAAAAAACCCTGATTACATCGTTTGTCAGGGAAAACGCTGAGTCCTGATTGGCGTACAGGTAACCATAGCAACGGTACTTTGTGGACGTGCTAACGTGCTAACGTGTTAACGTGCTAACACTTTTCAACGCGTATCTTAAATAGTTCAATTATAATAATAATGAATTAATATTTCCAACACGTCTTTATCTGTTGTTTTTATTTGTCCTTTAGTTTTTTAAAATCTCATTAATATAGAAACTTGT